AGTGGTGGCTCCCCCATACTGGACCAGACACTCTCAGGGGGCTGATCTTCTCACCACCGTTTCAGCCAGCAGTTCCTGCTCTTCATCCTCTTTCTCATCATCTCAGTTCTCATCTTGGTTGCCCAATAGGCAGACAGAGTGATGGCCACTGGGGGAGGCACCTATTGTTCCTCTGACTGCACCACTGCACTTGTCTAGCTCAGAGCAGGAGGCAGGGGCCAAACAGGTGACAAGGGGGAAGAGAGGCAGCTCCAGGGGGAGTCTTGTGAGTGGGTCCTGCTGGATTCTGGACCCTTAGCAGGTGACCAAACATGCCTACCCCGATTCCAGTAATATATAATGAATGATCATTTTTCAAAACATTTCAGCCAGGTGTTGAGGTTCAAAAAGTAAACCCAAGGATTTGGGGCTTTGGAAAAGATGGAATATCTGGAAGATGCAGAAAATTTATCATGATGCCCATGCCTTCTTTTTATTTATTTTTAAAGGCATACCGAGTTTTCTTGTAAGGCCGCTTTTTGAATTATGGGTTGCCTCCTGGTAATTTCAGGCATGACTTGAGATTTCCTAATTATTGGCCCTGCTAGAGTGAAATGTTGCTGTTTTAACAGAGGGCACAAAGCCAGGAACATGGCTGAGTTTCTTAATAGGGACACCTGGAAATGTATGACATATGACTGATGGTTATGAAAATTCATGCTCTGTCAGTAAAGCAAATCATCACCACTTTCTGCCTGAACCCAGTAACTGCAGTGGTCTGTCAGGCGTTTCATACATCTAAAGCTCCCAAGAAATTGGAGTGCTGAGTGTGAGAGTCCAGGAAGCTTTGGTAAGTACATTGCAATGGCTGCAGTTTTGAAATGGGCTGCCATCCTGGACTTCACATGCATGGAGAGCAGGTTGTGTAACCCTTTCCTCCCTGCAGTGCTAAGCCTGCCCCTTGGGCTGGTTCCAGATTTGGTCACGGATAGAGTAGACCCATTAAAACCAGTGGTATCTTAGTTATGAACTACAGAAAATTCAATTGGCTTCTCTAGGTGTTGGACCACTGCTGCTGATTAGGCATGCTGACATATGGTGGGGCCAATGACCCCCAGGTGAGACCCTGCCACATCCTACCTGGGAGACACTGGCAGAGCTGAGCAAGGGGGCCTGTGAAAGAGCAGGTACCGGATTCTGGCTGTGGAGCCTCACCTGGAGGATAACCATGTAGCTAAGGGTCAAACTGGACAAGGTATTAAATATGTGGCTACTTTTGCCTGGTGCTTTCTTTTGAAATAACTCTGAGCAGCTGATTAGGATTGTGGCCAGGCTAGCACCAAGTGTAGGTACGTTGGTCACCTGTCAAATATCAGCTCCAAGAGGTAAGCGGCAGGTATCCCTAATGGCCTGGCTGGACGTTATGAAGGTGGAAGAAAAACAGGCTTACTTGGGCAAGGGGCAGATACTTGGCAAGCTGCAGGGCCAGAAACAAAGATCCGAATAAACAAGGGTTAGATACCAACAAAGGCATGGCAAGACCACATTTGAAGGCCCAGTTGGGAACAATCAAGGGCCACATACTGGCAATGCACAGCAGGACTGCAGGCAAGAGCCATAGACATGACAAAGGCAAAGCAGGAGCAAAAGCAAAGGCAAGACTAAAAGAGTGAATATATGAGTGAAGATGTTGCAGGACTGGAGGCAGCCACCAAGTCAAGAACACGAAACAACTACCACAAAGACTCATGTTATAGCAAAATTGAAAATGACTGGGAAGCCTCCCGAGGCTCTCAGCTGGCAGCGTGAGTGCACTGGTCCTACTCCTGCAAGCACCTACACGTCCAGTGCTAACCCTGTAAGTACTTGCAAGGTGAACTGGGCTGCTTTCTTTACCAGGCCACGTGGGGAAGTTGCGTCACTTTGCAGATCCTGGCACTGAAAGCTTACCCTACAGCAAGGCCCTCTGAGAAGGGCCCCCTTTATGATCACAGCCTGCTTGTTCGCTTGCCCCTTGCTCTGACCTAGTCAATGGCAGGGGAGAGGAGGAGGACCAGTAAAGCCACTGCCTGCTAGCTTCCTGTTTCTCCACCCGCCTGCCAAGCAAGCAGGGGGCAGCAGTGAAGGGAAAGAGGCTGCAGAACCAGGGCAGCTGGTGAAAGTGGTGCAGAAAGTTAAAGGTCATGAGGGAGGGGGCCCATTGGGTGGAGCCTTGCCTAAGGACCCCAACATGTCTCTAGCCAGCTCTGGTTGAGGTGTACAGGAGGGATTGCAAAAGCTGGAATTTGCCTGGGGGAAGCTGTTCCCAGTGCAGGATTCTCATTATGGCAGGGCTTTTTGCAATGATTGTGACCTGGGGAAAGGTTAACCTCGTCCTCCCTGTGCCACAATCCTCAGTCAGTTCAGATGCCACTGTCCTCTGCGGCTGCCGTTGTTGAAGCGGGGAAAGCCGGCAAGTGAAATGCATTTGCACATCTACTGTCTGGCCATGGGTTTAGTCTGGAGAGTGCGGGTGCACTAGTGGCCGGCTTGTGGGCTTGTGGCCAGTCACTCTGTGAACAGAATGCTGGACTGGATGGACCTGGGTCTGATCCAGCAGGGCTCTTTGTATGTTTTAGTCAGTGTGCCTAAAGTAGCAGGGTGCATCGAGCACAGAAGAGGCAAAGGCGAGGAAAGGCCTACGCTGCAATGTCAGGAACCTTTTCAGAGCGAGCTTCCCATCCGTAGGGGCTGCACTGCCCATGTTCCCTTAGCACCAGCCCATGTCCTGACGTACAGCAAAGTCTGGATCCAGAGAGGTTGGATTTGGGGTATAAAGGACAGCTGAATGCCAGGCAGAATCCATCTTTTTCAAACAAAAACTGATGTGTTTATAAAATATTTAAGTTGCAGTGTTATGTTTAAGAGAAGACACAGGCAAAGCCTCTGCCGAAATGTAAGCACTGCCTGAGTTATGACCAGCTTCAACAGCTACTACATTGTAGTTTGCAATTAGAACATATTAATTGGAACATACTGTATAATTTATTGGAGGGGAGGACACATCATAATTTTGTCCTTTTGCATGCTTTATATTTAGAAAATAGCAAGGAATCTAGCACGCATCCTAGATAGAATGACTGAATTTGTACATGTTTGTTCTCTGCATGTGGTGCTAGGCTCCAAAATCCTGAGAGATCCTCCATTTTTCTGAGTACTTTCCCCAATGCACAGAGCAGTCTGGAACTTTGTGAAATACTTTTGCCTTGCACAGCTGCCAAAGTGGTGTATCAACTGCTTAAATGAAGAGAGAGAGAAATTTAAAGGAGCTCTCTCTCATCAGTTCTTCCTTTAAGTCTGGAGTGTGAAGCATAAATGAGCAGCATCGGGGTTTTTTAATGCTCTATTTTTACACTTTGCAGCTAAAATTTTTTGCATGCTTTGCAATGCTTTACTGGAGTGGTTTCTATTTATTCTTGTGTAAGTGCACCCAGGCCTGATTCAGACTGTGACCTTAGTGCTCAGGGAGGGTGCTCCCCACCATCTATTTTCATCCCAGAGTTCCAACACCCCCTCAGTCTTGCCAATGTGGGGAGTGGGCTCCCTTAGTTCTTCCCTGCCCCCCCAGAAGTAATGTTAGTACTTCTGCCAACCCCAGAGTTCCTTGCAGTCTGCATGTGTATGTTGCCATTTGGCTGCATAGAACAAGGACATCCATGTTCTTAGAGCCCAAGCAGGGTCATGTGAGAGAATAGGGTCTTTCAGATCACCTGGACTCAAGCAGTATAGGGCTTTATAGGTCTTCACCAGCACTTTGAATTAGGCTTGGAAACAGACTGGGTGCCTGTGAAGCCAGAGGAGTTTTAAGCTCCCTGTAGCCAGCCCAGTCAGCACCCTCTGAATCAGCTGAAGTTTTCAAGCACTGTTCAGAGGCAGACTCACGCAGAGTGCATTACAGGATGAAGTAAGGCATGTGTCACCATGTTCAAATTCCTAGTGAAGAAACAGATTGTCACACTTAAATTGGGAGTGGAGAGCATGCTTCCTCCTCAAAGCCACATGCACGTGCGGCTGACCGTCAGGTGCATCCAGAGCAAAAGAGGTGAGGAGGCGCTGCAGTTTCTCATGTATACTCCATGCCCACCCATTCACTTACCCATTTCACATGCAACACATGCCTGTAACATGCACACATACACGGGTGACATGGTTGGGCATCTGCCACAGGCCCACACTTCCAGCAGGGACCTACTAAAATTGATTCCTTTTCCATCATGGCAACTCGTTTGTCCACCTGCCTCTTGCTATGGCCCCGAAATCCCTGCTTGTGAGAACAAGGAGCAGTAGATGCTTGCTCACTGGCTCTTTGCCTGTCTAGCAGCTGCAACTCTACCTGCACAGAGAGCACCTAGCTACTGAAATCCATGCTCTGGAAACCACTTGTTTGGATTCCTGCAATGTGCTGTAGGTGGGGCTGCCTTTGAAAATGGTCTGGAAACCTCAGCTGATCCAGAACAGGCCAGCAAGATGGGGACTAGCTGGCGAGAACATATTTTGCCAGCCCTCCGTCACCTGCACTGGCTGCCAGTTGACATCCTGACGCAATTCGGAGCACTAGTACTAACATTCAGATCCTGAAGCAGCTTGGGGCCAGGTTATCTGAAGGAACTCCTCATCCCATATGCATCTACTTGGATCCTGAGGTAATCTTTGGGGTCCTTCCCTGGGAGCCCCTTCAAAGGAAGTGAGGTGGGTGGCTACCAGGGGAAGGGCCTTTTTGGTTTTTGCAGCCCAGATGTGGTATGAGCTTTTCAAAGAGGTGTGCTTGGTACCTACTCTGTATTCTTTTTGGCACCAGGTGAAGACCTTTGTATTCTCCCAGCATTTTAACAGTTTATCCCTTTAACTCCATTTTTAATATTGCATTTTATCCTGCACTGCTGCTATAGCTCTGTGCTGATTCAGTTGCAATTACTGTAGTCTTCTTGTTTAAATTTGGTTGTCTCTGTGTTTTTAACTTTTGTTAACTTTTGTTATATTAGGCTATATAGAAATGAAACAAGCAAACAACAGGATGAGAAAGAGGAAGAGGAGCAAGAGCAGATGGTGCCACTGAGGAGGCAGCCTCAGGATGGAGGGAGCCTGTGGAGGATGCCCTGACCAGGGTCATCAGAAGCCTGGGGCTGGCCTGCATATGCACAGACGCTTCAGCACAGAGAGAGCACTCCAGCTCATGCATGTCATGAGCTATACAGCCACATGCTTCGATGCAGCGTGAGGTGTGGATGCAGCCATGCTCATGGGTTAGGTGTTTTCCCCTTTCACTCCAATTAATTGGCCGCCACTTGCAGGGACCAGCCGACACTCCAGGCAATGCCACTGTGCATCTCATTTCCACGACTAAACAGCAGGCCTGGTGGGGCAAAGCCCATGGCTGGGAGGCTGCCAAGTTTTCCATTTAGGGTGGCCTCCTAAGAATCCTGGAAAAGAGAATATGCTCCACTCAAGAAGTAGACAAAAGAGGATACTGATCCGTATAACATTTGCACGTGCTCATTTATATGTATAGATGCAAACTTAGGAATAATGATAATATCTTACTGAGAGGACGGCTCCCTGGTGGCTTTTCCAAGAGTGAACAGTCCTCTGAAACACAGTTCAGAGGGCAATGTAGCTGTGCTACCTCTTTGCTACTGCCTCCTCTCCTTCTGCGTTACAACATCCGTTCTGCTTCTGTCATCCATGCCACAGCAGGAATCGCTGCAGTCTCCTCTGTCCACCCACCGATGGGGATGAGAACCACAGAGTATGTGGATGAACATGCCAATAGTTGGCCTGGGTGCATCCCCGGGAAGCTTGCTGAAGGCCCACAGGGAGGGCCAAAGATCAGTAGGCATGTGCTGGGGATACGTGTGTGGTGGCCGGTCCTTGTTGCAGTTAACCCCTTAGTATTCTGGGTCCGACGCAGACTGGATAATACCTGTGGCAGAGTGAGGGGCACTGGAACTTGAGCAACAATGAGATAAGCCTAAGTCTGGCAAAGGGTGGTAAGTCCTCATGTCTGTGAAACAGAGAACAATTTGTGGCCAGAATGTGGCATGCTGCATTGAGTACATGCCATCTAGCTGTTTGGGGAAACTAGAAGGGAATGGCAAAATCTTTGTTTAGTTTTTGTATCCCACTATGGACAGCTCTTTTAAAGCTCAGGATAAAAGTTAGCATGGGTACACCCCACACCCCAAGACCAGTCACATGCCTGAACTACATAACGAGCACAGTTTAGCACTTTGGTTGTTTGATTTCACTGGGATGTAGGTACACCTAAACTCTCATTGTTGGGAAACTTTCTCCATCTTGTTGGCCTCCAGGATCTTGGACCCCAAAATATCCCTTCAGCCCTGGCCAATGTGGCCAGTGGTTGTGAATGATGACAGTTGTGGTTGAAAACATCTGGCTAGTTGGGAAAGGTTGCAGAAAAGTGCTTCAGGGAGAATAATGGTGCTTGGCTGAACACCTAAAAATTAAAAAACAGGACTTTTACTCTATTTGAGATCCAGAAAACAGCAATAAGATCAGTTCACCATAATGCAGTGGCAAGTTCCCAGCAAGTGGAAAGGCACCAGTTGTGCATTTTCAAAGGAGTATGGCAAAAGAGCCAGTGTGGTGTAGTGGTTAAGAGCATGGGACTGGGACTCAGGTGATCTGGGTTCTAGTCCCTGCTCGGCCATGGAGCCAACTGGGTGACTTTGGGCCAGTCACAGACTCTCAGCCCAACCTACCTCACAGGGTTGTTGTTGTGGGGATAAGATGGAGGAGGAGAATGATGTAAGCTGCCTTGAGCCCTTTGTAGGAAAAAGGCAGGATATCAATCGAAGAAGAAAAAATACCATTTTGCTTCAGCCTCCATTGGGAAGAATGGCATGCTTAGGAACAGGGTGGGCCTTTTGCTGTACTGTATAATCTTTATTGGTGCTAACAAAGCAGATTTTCAGAATGATAGTAGACAGCACGGCACCTTGGCCTGGAAGTCACGGGGTGCAAAGGGATGTTTCTGTACTGGGTGTGTTTGTGAACAACTGGCTCCCTGCAGAATAAGCAGCAATGTTTCCTGAGAAAGCTATACTGTCTCTCACCTCCAGCAACTTCTTTCTCTCCTCATCAAATGGAAAGTCTGTTACTAATGATAACCATGTGCTGTGCTGCACATACTGCCAAACGATTCAAATGAAATTAGGAACTGTGAGAATATTATCTGAACAGGATCAAGGCTGTCATCCTGCAAATAGTCAGATGGCTTAGATCTGAATGGAGTCAGCCGAGAGCAAAGCAGCCCTAAAGTATGCAGAATTACAGACAGACAGTGCGCGTCTCTGCATGTATGCTCAAAGTAAATCCAACTGTATTCAATGGGGCTTATTCCCAGTTGCATGGATAGAGACTGTAGCCCGAGACTGCAATCCTAAGCATGTTTGCGGATGACTCAGCCCCACTGAATTCAGTGGGATGTATTTCCAGATAAGTTTAAGATTGTATTGTCAGTCTCTAGTGGCCATTTCATTTTGGAGATTTGGGCACTATTGTTTCCTTTCTGGCACTCTTTAATAGACTTTCTCTCTATTATCCAGAACCGGCCTACCAGAAACAAGCAATCCATTGCAACACACAGCACATTGGAGGATAGACATATTTATGTAGTGCAGAACCAAAGAAGGCTTTGAAGAAAAAGCAGCCTGGATCAAAGAGTGGAAGACAGAAGTGCTGTTAGACTGATAATTTATTGTTTTGCATAGTTTACTGCAGGATGGATTAGAATATTTGTTAGTGCTTTTGCAAATAACTTGTTAAAGCCACATTTGATTTTCCCCCAACTAAACTGTAATCTGAACTTGGGAACTGGAGGACTACTGATTAATAATTTTGTGTAGAACTCTGTGTAACCTGTTGTCGAAAGGCACCCATCCTTCCTCCATGCAAGTAGGAATTTGAAAAGGGAAAGAAAGGAAACTTCTACAGGGAGTAACTGGCTGATCAAGTAAGTAAAAGTGGGGGTAAACTGAGACTATCCTCTTGGAATTTGTAATAGCAAAGAATGTGAAATTTGAGCATTGTTGGAGATGTACTCTGAGCTTGAGGAAACCTGTCAAAAGACCCCAGAAAAAGTCAGCTGGGCTAACAATTCTGAAGAAGAAAAGCGTTCAAGAGGGTGGAGAGATTCTGAAAAGTGGAATACCAAAAGCACAGTCACAAAAACTTTCAATGTGAAGGAAAAATAGGATGCAGAATGGTTGCACAGGGACCTCTCTGATAAGCTGAGAATTAAAAAGGACATACAGTATACAGGAAATGGAATGAGGGACATAGAAGCAAGGATGGATACAACAGAGAATCCTGTGCCTCTCAGGATGATGTCAGGATGGCTAAAGCTCAGAATAAACTCAGGTTTGTGAGGCATGCTTAAACTGAGAGCTTCTTTGGCCATAATTGGCGCAAGCAGAAAGAAAGGAAGGGATACAGGGAAGATAGTGAAATATCAACTGGTGATGGAACTTTATTGTTTAGTTGCAAAGTCATGTCTGAGGTGCCAGGTGACTGTAGGTAAATGTCTTTATCTCCAAAAGGCAAAAAAGGTGGGGGGAAGCAAAGAATCTGAAATGATAGGCCATCAACATGATGCTAATACTGTACAATTCTAAAACAGATGATAAAGTAGTTGGTTTATGAGCATCTAGAAAATAGTGCATTGTGTTCTAGGACCAAGCGCAAATACTAGGAATATGTTATGCTGGAGGAGCCTATTTTGGGGGAGTTACCAGGTTCGTAGATTATGGGAACAGTATAGACATGGTATATCTTGGTTTCAGCAAAGCATATGGCAAAGTCTCTTCTAATATAATTGTTGACAAGATGGTAAATGTGGACTGGACAGCAGCTGACTCCACAGCCTGTTGAACAGGGACTCGCGGCCCGCAGGCCAATTGCCGGGACGGGTCGGGCACGGGGGAGGGGTCCTGTGGCCTTCAAAGCGCTGGCGGCGCCTGGGCCGGCCTCCGGGAGCGACGCGGGATGAGCGGCCCACCACCACCGCGGTGGTGGAATACTTGATGCGGCCCAGCCTCACCCAGCCTCTACTTCCAGCGGCCCCCAGGTAAGTTGAGTTTGAGACCCCTGCTGTTGAACAACCATACCCAGTGAGCGTTCATGAATGTCTCTAAAGTCAAGGCCAGTGTCAAGACCAACTTCAGCACGGACATAGTAACAGAAGTCCCAGAACTTGTTCCTCTTCTTCGTCATTGTCATCTGTTGTTTGCCTGCCTATCATTTTGGACCAGACAACAGTGGGGGTGTAAAGGTGCAGCAGCAGATGCCATGGGCTAGCTCCTTACTGGTTCTGCTGGTTAAGCAAACAAGTACTAGCAGTGATAAGAAAGATACAGAGGAGTAATGACAGCTGGAGACAATGTTAGTGAGAAGGTGCATGCTCAAAGGGAAGGGCTACCAAGAATGTCTTTCCCAAGGATCCACAAACACCTGGAGCTGCCCTCTCTACGACACTCCAAGGGTGGTCTCAAGGGGAGCTACTCAGACCTCTTTGGCAGGGTCCATGGCCAAGATGTGGGTGGCCAGGGACAGGGCAGGACAGGACAAGAGCAGAGCGATAGTGCCACCAGGACCAGAGCAATAGAACGTCAAGGAAGACAGAGTTCAAAAGCAGGGTTTAATGGCAAGTCCAGATCGTACTCATGGTATAGGCGGAAGTCAGGAACCAGAAGAATGCATGAGGGAAGAACAAGGATGTGGTCAGAGCAAGCCAAGGATCAGGAGGACAAACAGAGGTGCAGGTGCCTTGGACAGGATAACTGAAAGGATACATGGCACAGCAGGAACCAGACACAGCAAGGATCAGGCAAGATGCAGGAGCTAGAGCACAGCTTTCAGAAAGCCCTGTGTTACTGAGGAAACATGGTGAGGCAGGATACACAAAGAGGCAGGATAAAGGGCAGGCAAGAGGCAGGCACAACAGCAAGGCAACACGGAAAGCCGGGGACCAGGAGCAGGAATTGTTAGGCAGGGTGTAGACACAGCGGCAAACAGGCAAACCTGTGTTGCTAAGACAAAATAGCAAGACACAGTGGGAACCAGGAGCAAGAACAGGCAGGCAGGATGTAGTTTTGGCAACAAACAGGAGGACCTGTGCTGCTGAGGAAACACAGCAAGGCAGGAGTGGTCAGGCACAGTGCAGGCACTACAGTTATAAGAAAACCTGTGTTGCTGAGGCTAGTTCCAGAGGGAAGAGCTTGTTCTTATATAGCTCTTTTCCCAGGACCTCCAGCTGGTGCTCATCAGTTGACTGAGAGGTCCAGCAGGGCCTGAAACTGATCCGGGAAATACTGTGCTAGTTGTTCTGGTTCTGTCCAGCAGAGCAGCCCAGATTTTGACATCTTGCCTAGGCCCTGTGCCTTTAATGTTTTTATCAAATGACTTTGATGAAAGCATGGAGGTATGCTTATCAAAAGCAAATGGTTCAAAGCTGGAAAGGATAGCTAACTTCATAGAAATATTCTGGTGAAACTAGCATTGAACTACAATATGTATCATCTGCACTGGCTACCAATTCAAAGAGCTGGTTTGTCATACATTAACAGATTAAACAGCCAATTTTGATAATATTTTCCACCCACATGCATTAGCCAAACCATTAGGATAATTTGCTGAGTTCCTGCTGCATAGCTACTATCATCTGAAACATGGTCAGTGGTGATGCCAGACTCCTAGAGTGTCTTCTCAAAATATGTCCATGTGGCCCCTTCAGTGTTCACTTTTCACTCAAGATTTTTTATGTTTAGTATGTTTTATGAAATGCTATTCTTTTGTGCACCAGTCTTGTCTTTGCTAAACTGTACTTTTAATCTTTTGTTTGTTTTGACTAGACTTTAAGTACTGCTTTACACCTCTGCATGTTCTCAATCACAAGCAACACCTTTTAGGAAAGTGGAATAAAAACCCTGAAAGTAAATAACTCCTTGAGCTGTTAATAAGATGCACTAATATAGGAAGCTGCCATTTTTAAGTTTAGTTGTACCCCCCTGAAGTGTTGTTTGTTCATTCAGTCATCCAGTCAATTGGCATTTTCCAATTCATTGAGGTCTTTTCAGATGTGCATTACTAGTTATTGGTCACCCTGTCAGCCATACAGAGGCATCTCATCTGGGCAGTCTTCTTGAGCATTTGGGAGCATTTTCTTCCATTCCAGAAAGTGGTGTGAGATGAATATGCTAATAATCATGCAAAACTCAAATGTCATTTTGAAGAGGTGAGAGAGTCAAGAAAGCAGTTTATTTATTTATTTAAAGCTTTTATATGCCGTCCTATTATATAAAAATCTCAGGACGGCTTACAGTGTTTAAAAGAACAATTTAAAACATCAACAATTTCCAATAAATGAACTAAAACAGAATAATGTATAAAACAATAAACAGTAAATCACAAAACAAAACAGAGTGACTGGACATTTAAGAGCCTTTCTCCTGGCCAGTGCCATAAAAAGCTTGTGCACAGATTTTGTTTGGACCATTGTGTGTTGTTTCACATTTTTTCACTTATAAGGAGCTACCCTGGGACGTAAGCATCTGTTCAACTTCCAGGTATTGAATGATGATACACTATACCAGTTAAGAGCAGGCTGTCTCCAGTGCACAGTTTACGGACTGTGCCTAGTGCTTGGCGGCCTTGCCTGTGGCCCATCACGGTTATCCCTGTGTGACATTCTCCCCATTTAAATCATGCCCTTCCCCTGCCCCATAGCCCAGCCCTGAATGAGAGACCACCTGGGTGTTGGTAGGGCAAGGCAGTTCAGCCATATAGTGCCTGTACTGTGCCAACTGCGCTCATGACTGGTGTGCTCCCAAGCCCAGTTGAAAGTGCTGGTTTTCAAGGCTTAAGCAGTATGGCACCAAACCACTAGCTTTCACTAGCCTTTAATACTAGTCTTCAGCCACACCGTTCTGTCCACACTAAGATCAACAAGGGAGGCTCTTCTTAGTTGCCTACCTACCTGTGAGACAAGTGAGGTGTGTAATGACATGATACGGGGCCTTTTCAGCTGTGGCCCAACAGCTTTGGAAAACGTTGCCATCAGGGGTCTGTTGGAGAGGAGGTCCCATCACTGCAAGCTCCTAGGAAGGCCCTGAAAGTGTCCTATTTTAACTTGGCCATTCCTTGGTGTGTTTACTTACTGATTTGTTGTTGTTCTTCTTGTTATGCTTTTGCCATTTTTATTCTGTTTTTATTGCTTCTGAAGACTAGTTATCATTATTATGTGTTTTATTGTATACTGCCTTGGGAAGACTCTGTATGCCCTGAAAGATGAACAAAATAGTTTAAACAAACAACAGGCTAATCCATAAATCACTGGCACAGGGAGCTTTCCCCAGTGGGCAGCAGGGTGGGTGAAAACTGTGAAGCACACTGGGACCCCAGCAAACAGAAAGGGAGGAGAAGGGAGGAAGTGTGCGTGTAATGGTGGAAGGATGGGTATGTGTGTTGTGTGATTGTGTCTCTGTGATTCACTAGCATTGTGCACGAGTTCAGATCCTGAAGGATTCCTCTGGTGCCTGTGTGGCCCTTCACCCAAAGAGGTTACCTACTCCTGCTCTTGCAGAATGTAACGAGAGGTGGGACATAGCACAGAGGTTGCTCAGATCTAAGGACTTCGTTTGGGACCAAGAAGCATTAGAAACAAACCTCTACAACCAAGAAGAGGCTCACAGGATGAAGCTGTGCAAGGCGCATGAGCTCTGTCCTTTGGATGAGTGTTACCTTGCACTTGGAGTATGTGCGTTAGTTGCTAAGGGAAGTGAATGTTTCTGTCTTAGATCAATAGATAAGAGCAAGTTTAAGCAGTTGAATTTAAACATGAATTCCCAGACATTATGCCTAAGAAATATATGACCCCTTAATTAGGTAACACTTCTTTTTTGTTTGCTATCTTTATAGGAACAAACTCAAAAAATACTTTTGTGGCACAGAAATGTCTGATGCAGCGCACTCTGCAGCAGTTAACTGGTATAGTATATCATCATTCATTACCTGGAAATTTCATTTAAAAAATAGTAATTATGAGGGCTGAGCCGAAACTACTCACCATTTTGAGGAAAAATATTAAGCAATGTCAAAAAATACCCACATTTTTCAATGACTTTTTGGCCTTATTCCCTCAAGTGACTTTGTCATCACTGATGTTATCACCTAGCCAAATCTGATTGGCTATGCTGCGCTGTGACACTATATCCTGTTCACTATATGGTGATTGGCTGGGCCCAGGCATGCTGTTAATCCAGAAAAGAGAAAGAAGAAATAACTGGAGAAGAAAAAAATGGTGACAAAGATTGGATTAATGGCACCAATTAGGCTCAAAAGCCTGAATAGTCACTGAATTTTTTAAAAAAGGAAATATTCTTCCCAGAGGCTGTAATCCTACACACACCCCACTAGGAGTAATTCTCATTGAACTCAATTAGGATTACTTGTGAGTATATATATATATATATATAGAATTATGTTCCAATAGTTTTTTTTCAGTCTGAAAAGAAAAACTGGAGGATGTTCGGCACAGCCCAACTAATTATATCTCTCTCACACATAATACAAATATTTAAACGGGAACATGCCTAAATATATTAAAATGAAACTTGCACCTATGATAGGAAGCCCTGCTAGTATAAATAATTTTCCCTGTATTGTTAACATTGTGTGTTCCTTCTTTGATGCACTGATGCTTATCTCAACTCCAAGCACTTCAGAGGTGCTTTCACTAAATTGCTATCCCCTCCTGCTCCTGACTAGATGTTGTCTTCTCTGTGTTCCTTATCTTTCCAATATATTAGGGGGAGTAAGGCAGCCAGCTCAGGTTGATGAACCTGGGTTTGGTGGCAGTGGCTGGCCATGCTTTGGTTGTTGCCCCTGAACTTCCTGTCTGTTCCCCTTTGTTAACCTGTCCTGGGCCTCCTAGTCCAGCCTGTTCCCTGACAACATGGTGAAGGGCATTATTCCACTGGCCATGATGAAGGAACATTGAACTGCCAGTCCAGTGAGCTTCTGTACTTGGGCTTGGCAAAGGCTCCATCACACCCTTTCCCTCAGACAGAGACGTATTGTGGGCTAGCCGCCTGAAATGGACCTTTGTTGGTGTTCTGTGCTGTCAAGTCGCTCTAAGTTATGGCAACCCTGTGAGTGTAAACCCTCCAACTGTCTTGCCCCCTGCAGCCCCGCTCAGCATTCAGTTCACTATATCTGCCCGAACCCACTCTCCCTGCCAATTTTGCCATTCTGTAACGTCCCAGGTTGTTCGCATCAATATGTTGCTGGAACTCCAGTGGGGTGTGGAGTGGGGAAGCTGCTAGGACGGAGGAGATACAGTGGAAAAGTAGCGTGCAAGGCAACGGCCAAATGCCCCCTCCCTTCTCCTATTTCCCCATGTAGCTCCTCCTGAAGTTGCCCCACCCCCTACAAGAAGCAGCCATTAGTGAGCCAAGGTGAGCCATTAGTGAGCTCTTGTAAGCCGCCCCGAGGCTCTTTGCGAATGGGGCGGCATAGAAATGCTTTAAATAAATAAATAATGTTTTACTGAGTGTGTTTGCATCTCATGTATAGTTTGCCCCTTAGGAAAGCTCCAAATCTCAACTCTCAACCATACTGCTTCTCTGGTACTTTGCCTCTTTCATGTTGGAGATGGCATTATCCTAAGGCAACATGAAGTGGCCATTCCAGGCTTAAGGGTTTGTGTGCCATAAAATTCCGCACCCCAAACTTCATTGTAATAAGCCGGAGCTCATGTAAGCTGAGGGTGCTTCATGCAGAGCTTCCAGTTGACATCAAGGGCTCTGCCGAATGCTGAAGAACTAACATTTTTGGCATAGTAAGGGGTTGGGGAGCTCCGAATTTTCCCTGAAGGACCCCTACAACCAAACATTTTTTTTGGAGGGGGTACATTTTCACCTTCACTCTCAGCTACTTCAGCATCTATCTGACCGTCTACTGATGCTGCTTCTTCTCTTGAATAGGATCCCAGCCAATCAGGAATCACATCATGAATGTGATGATGTTGCAAAGCCCAGTAGCCAATCAAACATCCCTAAGAGCCACACCAGGGTGCAGGGCTGGGGGAAAGCTGCCTGTCTTAGGTTTTCCTCACTCTGAATGGTCAGGGAGAAGGAAGGCATGATTTCAGTGGGAGGCAGGGGAGAGTGGTTACTACTGCAAACAGTTGCTGGCATTGCCTTAATAACTAGGCATGTCATGAACGGAGCTGGCTAGAAGTGGGGGTCAGACTAGATGGCCTGGGAGACCCCTCCTGACTCAATCTGTTTCTATGTAACTACTCTTCACCCAGATTCACCAAAGAAGGCAGCTGCAGTAACAGCTACAGTTTTTCTCAAATAAGATGTACTTCTTACTCACATCCACTTTTATTTTTATTTATTTATTAAAACATTTTTATGCCGCCCCATTCACCGAAGCCTCGGGGCGGCTTACAACATAGTTAAAACAATAAGTTAAAATATCCATATAAAATAATCTTAATTAAAATACACATTATAAAATAAGCCGCCCTGGCCAGATAAAATTCAATTGTAACAAATAATTCAATTGAAAAACAAATAACGACGGCGCCAGGCGGACCTCTCTGAGGAGCGCATTCCATAACTTAGGCGCCACCGCTGAGAAAGCCCTTCTCCGAGTAGCCACCCTCCTAATTTCTCTCCCGGAGGGCTCCCGGAGAAGGGCCTCTCCCGCCGATCTCAGGGGGCGATTGGGCAAATATGGATGTAAGCGCTCCTTCAGGTAACCAGGACCCAAGCCGTTTAGGGCTTTATAGGTCATTACCAACACCTTGAATTGGGCCCAGACTTCAATGGGGAGCCAGTGAAGCTGACGGAGAACTGGAGTCATGTGAACATAACGTCCAGTCCCCGTCAGCAGCCTGGCAGCTCTATTCTGAACCAATTGAAGTATCCGGACCGTCTTCAAGGGTAGCCCCACGTAGAGCGTGTTACAGAAGTCAAGATGGGAAGTCACCAGCGCATGAGTCACTGTTGCACACTTCTTCCCCCAGAAATTACTCGCAACTGGGCCTCCTTTGAACAGGTCGGCAAAGCTGGGAATTAGTTTTAGTTCAGCCTTATTGGTTTCATCAGGGCTTGCATACAAGCACTTCTTGGTGGATTGTGTCCTGTGTTAACTTATGAGGGAGAGAGAAAAGGGGTGTTGTTTCTTATTTCTGCTTCTGGCACCAAAATGGCATACTATGCCAATGTAATAATTTTTGGTCATGCATTTGATGGCTGGTCTCCCTTTGAGGATTTCTCTGTTGATGGAACCATAAAAGATGGTTCTGAAAGGATAAAGTAGCATTTTTTAAATTTTGTGTTCATGTGAACTGAGGCCAAGCTGAAAGGGGAATATGGTATTCCCCAAATATGTTGGCAGTCTTTTAGGGGGTGCAGTGAAAGAGAGCTCCAGTATCCACCATTTCAATTCAGGTGTTGATTTTGGAAGCACTGGCCCTTACTCACCAAATCAGTTGACTTCATGGCATCAGAACATCATGATGCTTCCTGTGAAGCTCCCAGCTGACTAGGTTTTGGGTGCCACGGAGGGCAACAGAATAGAAGGCAAGAAGACGGAGGCAGTCTTAGGAAGAAGATGTAGTTTAAGAAATAAGGGCCTATGCCTGTTTAGAGAGAGACTAATTCTACAACTCCCAGCATGCCCCAGCAAGGTCTTACGTCTATATTTGCATAGGCTTGCACCCTAAATAGTTCTCGAGTGGCAGCCTCTTGGGGAATAAACAGGCAACAAAGCAAAATGAGCAAAGGAGGAGTATTTTGGCAAATATTTCAGCCCCTCCCTGCTTTGACTCCCAAAGTGAAACAAGCAAATATTTGGCAAGACGTGTATATGAATTGGGTTTTTTCCCCCTGTACCTCGGTTTAAATTCATTATTTAAATATAATCAATTTGTATTTGTTTATGTCAATGGAAGGCCAGGTGTGTGATCTGCATTCTGACCATGATTTCTTCAGTGTTCTGGATTCCTAATCTGGTAACACACACTTTGGGTAACTACATCTGCAAATATGAAGCTATTTCAAACCGTTTACAGTTAGAAATATTGAATACTCCTTGCCCTTCTGGGTAGGAAAGTAAAGTAATTGTCATTGCTATTCCTTTGTGCAGTGTTGCTTTTGGTTTGGCAATTTTGTTGGCAAATGTTTCATTTTGTCCTTTATGTGAAGGATTTTAAAAGAATCCTCTTTCTTTCTTTTAAAGGCTCTTCAATTTTGACATGTTCTTTCTGCTGCTTGTTTTGGTTTCGACTGCTTCTCAGCTGCTCTGTGATGGAGTGGAATACAAATGTAGTCATTCTTTTGATGCAGCTGACAAACGAATAATGTGAATGTGGAGAAAAGGGCTATTCATAATATGAGGGGTGGTCGCAGCAAAGGAGGTCTGAGTGGCTCAAGGCACAATTCTACGTAAATCCAGACAGGAGAGTGGCCTACAAACTCCATTGCATGTTAGCTGAGGCATGCTGGGAGATGTAGGCCCTTTTTTTCTGTCCAGATTTGCATAAGATAGAGTCCTTTGCCAATTTTGGCCTAAGATACCTCAAGTCAATTTTTTGCACATGCTGAAGAGCTCATTTCTGCGCGTCGCTTGGTTTTGCATAAAATGAAATAATTGTAAACAGGATTACTGGAGAAAGGCTTGCTGAACTTCAAACATTGAAAAGTTTTAAAGCATTTGTCACATTGAAAATGTTAGCAAGAATTATTGGCATTTATAATGGGTGGGCTACACTCTACAGCAGCTGTTCTTAATCCTCCTTTCATTAACTACTTCACAATTGCTGGGGGGTCTTGGTGGACCACTTAATTTTCCCTTTACAATCAAAACACATGCATAAATCATATTTTAATATTATTTTTCTTCAGTGCAAACATTGTGTCAAAACCCTGACCATCTGAAAGCCTCAGATCCCAGGTCAAACCACTGCGTATAGT